TATATATATATATATATATATATATATATATATATATATATATATATATATATCAAAAGCCAAGGGACCCCAAATGTCATCAATTAAGAAAACAAAATACAGTCAGATTTTTTTGTATTTTATGTTTTTTTTCTTTCATCAAAAGAAGTGACAAGAAAAATCCATTTAAGATGAAGTTAAATATCAAGTGGAATCATCAACATCCTTTCAAAATGTTTTAGTGGTTGTGAATCATTGCTTTTTTGAATTAACGGGTCTAAAATGAATAATTCGTAATTCAAATTTAAAAAAAACGATTCATAATTTGAATTTGAACAAATTAAAATGAAATGAAGTTATTAAATAAGTATGTCAAAATAAAATTGAGTTATCAAGTAAATAAGTTAATGACATTTTTTTCTTTTTTTCATTATCGCGAAATAAATAGAGAAAATAAAAAACCAAAAATCACTTTTGACCTTATAAGTATGAAAATAGTCATTATATATTTGGAAAAATGTGTAATTTTAAAATACTAACTATTTTTCAAAAAACATGACTGAAAAATGATCAATAAATGCTATTCTTACCGGATATAATTTAAAGATCAAACATGATTTTTCTTGAGTTTGAGTACTTATTTTGGTTTTCAAAAGAGAAAAACCTATTCAAAGAAGAGTAAAAATAAAATAAATGATTTCAAAGAAAGAAATACAACACTTTTTCTAATCCAATTTTTCTTTTTTCTTATTTCCTTTTACTCCACGATCATGAAATAAAAGGGAAAATTTCTCGAATAACCATTTATAACTTTTTTTGTTAAAAAAGATAACCATTGTCATGGCTAATGAGTTGTCTTCGTGGAATCTCAGTAACCTCTTTTTGCGATGTCTAAAACATGTCAGACCTGATCAACTTGAGGAACTTATTATGGAGATGAGTTTTGATTCACGAATCAAATATCTTTTTTTACATGATAAAGTTCAACGACCCAACATGATTGAGATTCTTTCATCTTACGAATGATAATGACGAGGATTTTACTCGGTGATGAAGATGCCACGAGTCGAGATGAGGAGTTGGGCCTAGAATTGGGCTTTCTATTTGGGCCACTAACAAAGAAAAACCTCAACACTTGAGGTTCTAATGGATCTACACAATGGGCAAGATTGGGCCACAACATCACATTCTATACAAAGACACAAATGCCTACAAGGCAATAGCACAACTGAAGCGAACCGTTTTCTACAACCCTTGCAACTCGGCCGGCCGGTCGACTCAACAACCCGGTCCGGATCAACGTAAACCGACTCAGCATCCTCCGCCTCTCCGCCGCCGCCGTCTCCCTCCACCGTACTCATTCCACCGCCGTTCACCATCGCCTGCTGTAGCTGAGCTTGCAGCGTCGCCGCCGTCACTTCCTGTTCCCAAGCCTTTACTTGCCACGCACGCGCCTCAGCGGTCAGCTGCGACGCACGCGCTTCCAGCTCAGTATTCCGCCTCCCTGCTTTCTCCACCTCCGTCTCCTTCTCTTTCAGCCTCCTCGCCGCTGATTCCTCCATTGCTCCGATCAGCGCATGATAGTGACGCTTCCTTTTCTCCTCTAACGTACGCCTCAATTGTTCTCCCTATTGCCATACATTTTCATTAATTTACTTATCGGATACTCCTCGAGAGCCTCGATGCAACAGTAAAATTAAAAAAAAAATTCAAATCATTACCTGGAGTTGGAGGAAATGATCAATTTCATGATGTTGTTGTTTGCTATGAGAGGCGAGAAAATCGTTTGATGATTGATGATGCAGAGATAGATGAGAAACAGAATGTTGTTGTTGATGCAATTGATCTCCGAAAGCTAATTGAAGCCCAGTAGATACAATATTTATCTGCGATGAATTGTTATTGTGAAATTGAGCAAGATTGATAAGTTGATGTTGAGATTCGATCGACATTAATGGATTCTCTGTTGCTAAGGTATGTTCTCTTCCTCTTTTCCGCGAATTCGCCTCAACTGCCATTGCAACAAACATAAAACAAAACAGAGATTGAATCAATCAAGTGAAAAGTGATTAAGGAAAGTTCAGATTAGTTAGATCAGTTGAAATGCGCGAAAAACAGAGTAATTTTTTATTTTTTATTTTTTTTACCTCTTGGATTGAACATTTGAGTAGGATTAAGAAATGATTCTTCACCAAAAACTCCACTTTGTTGTTGTTGTTGTTGTTGAGTTTGTAATTGTAGTAATGATGAATAATTGTTACCAATTTGGCTCTTTCCTTCTTGTACACTTCTATTTAGAAATAGAACATTTGATGGGTATTGAGCTTGAACTGCCATCTTTTTTGGTTCTTTCAAAAAAAAATGAATGAATTATTATCAAAAGAAGACGATTCGATTTACCCTCAACTTTGTGATTTTGAAGTGGTATATCCTCCTTATAAAAGTACCTCTCAAACTTGCAAAATTTATGAGAATTGCAATAGATAAGCGTGATTGGTGAGTCAAATATGCTCCCCAATCTCGCAAACTTTATAATTTAAAATTGATATGTCTCTTGTCGCAAAATGACTCACATATATTCTTTGGAATTCGAAAAGTTTATAAGAATTTCAATAGAGAAGTGTGATTGGTGGAGGAAATGAGGATAGAAAGAGAAAGGAGAAAAGGTTGACAATAAAGGCTAGTACATAAACAACATGAAAGAGAAGAAGATGCCATAATAAACCATTTGAGAATTCTTCAATGACCCTTCAAAATTCAAAAATAATTTCGATTTCGTGTGTTACTGACCTTTAGAAATTTCTCGATTATTTTGAAAAAACAATATATATATATATATGTGAAAGAATGAGACACAAGAATGAATGAGAAGTAAGATAATTTGATTTTTGAGAGGGGATAGATAGAGCTTAAGTTGAAAAAAAATGAATCTTTACTTTATAACACCTTTTTTTTAAAAAAAAAATAATTCAAAGGGAGAGAGATATGATTTAAGGGAATCAGTCCAAAGAGAGGGGTAGCCCCATATTTTGATTTTTTCGTTTTTTTGTTTCGTTGAGTCAGATTCAGAATTTAAATTTAATTTTTTTTAGATTTATTGCGATTAGAATCTGTCTTTATATGAACATTTTTGCTAATAAAACGGTAAAATTTTATAGTCTTGACCTTTGATCATGTATATGTTTTAAAATTTTCTCTTAATATGCGTAAATAATTTTAAATTTTAAATTAAATATGCTTAGTGATATATGATAAGAACTTAAATTGTTTGTTTTGTTTTACCAATTGAGAGTTAAAATCTTTTAACTATTCTAAAAATAGTAATTTAGAAATCAATCTTTTAATAATCAAAATATACTCTTGGTCAAATCTCACCATATCCCCACACTAGTTTATGGATGATGATGAAGGTTCACGTGGATCTAATGAATAAACATTTTGAACCTTTTTTAAAAATAAAAAGATAAAAAAATTCATCAATGGAATATTATCTTGATATTTTTTTAAACTTTGCAAGTCATATTATTGGCTTAACAAATTATGTTATCCATAATATGAGTTATAATAAAATAATTTAAAATTTCATCATTCTTAATCAGAAAGTTTTGAATTTGAGTTTCTATAAATTAAAAAATGTGCAAGTTTTACTCTCCAAACATAATCATGTTTTATATGAATTCATATTTAATCAAATCTCAATATAAAATACGGAAAAAATAATTAGTCATATGGCAAACTGATAGCAAGACACTCCTCATAATCATCTCCCACAAGTGTTGCTGTAATATATACTCCCACCATTTCAATTGTTAAGATATTTCACAGTTTTTAAGAAAATAAATAAGACATAAATTAAGTATAATTTTTTATTTTTATCTTTATTAATTGTTGTCAAATTAATAATTAAATATTAATTGATAATTAATTACATTATTAACTAATGAAAGGTAAAATTGAATGAACCCACCAAAGTACGAAAGCCAGGATCTTTCAGAAAACGGATTCCTATTCAAAGAGTGCATAACCGCATGGATAAGCTCACACTAACCCGTCAATTTGGGATCCAAATTAGAGATTTTCCTTGGGAGGTATCGGGAAGGATTTGGAATGGAATAATATCGATTCATACAGAAGAAAAGGTGAGATTTGTCTTGAAAATTGAACAATCAAGTTAATTTAAAAAATAAAAAATGTCTAAACAATTCAATTAATTTGAAATGAATGAAATATTGAGTATAGGATATTAAAAAGGAGTTTTAACTCAAATATTGTCATAATGGGAATCGATATAAAGTTTAAAAACTTCAAAAAAAAATTAAATTTTATAGTCTTAAATTAAAGAGATATTAATACTTATTGTTAGTCGATTTTAAAAAGTTTTACCCTTCTAAGCTCTAATCGTAAATTGTTTATAGTCCTTATTGACGTAGACTTAACGTATAACAAATGTTTATAAATATTACTTATACACTAAATATCGACTAAATTAATAATAATAATAAGATAACATTTTCCTTATTGTGAATATTACTACCTTAATTGGGAGTGTATGACATATCAAACTTTTTATTACCTCGATAAGGAGCGTACTGTTTCTTAATCGAGTTTCTCAACATCAGATATATTTATTATAATCAACATTTTCTATATAATTTATGAGTTATTATATAAAAATAAATTTATCTGATGCACATCTAAAGAACAGTGATTTTAATTTTTTTTAAATCAAGTTTTTTGTATCAGATTAATTTAATATAATTTACATTATTTTCTATATAATTTGTGAGTAAGTACATAAAAACAAATTCATATGATGCGCATCTAAAGAATAGTGATTGTAGATTCTTTTTAATTGAGTTCCTCATATCAGATTTGTTTAGTATAATTTATATTTTCTATGTAATTTGTGAGTACTACATAAAAACGAATGTATCTTATGCACATCTAAACAATAGCAATTGCGATTTTTTTTAATTGAGTTCCTCTCACCAGATTTGTTTAGTATAATTTACATTTTCTGTATAATTTATGAGTAACTACATGAAAACGAAACCGAACTTATCTAATGCACATCTAAAGAATAGTAACTGTCAGATTTTTTAAAATCGAGTTTCTCACATTAAATTTATTCAGTATAAATTACACTTTCTATTTAACTTGTGAGTTACTATACATACTTGATGCACATTTTAAAGAATAACGTAGCTTGGTAGCAGATTTTATCGGAAAAAGAATATTTTTTAACGGAAGTCTCATCTGGATGGCTGGTTCATTCGCTTACGAGAACTCAGATTGACAGGTGATGAGATAGCATACTGGTATGATTGATTTAAAGTCGACCACTAATAAATAGCATTTTTTCCACTATGTTCTATGAAAAATAGAAGTATATTATATATTAGGATGAAAATGATGTTTCTAGATTTTTGAAGATTCTCAACCAGGCCAAACAAATTGACAATTTAGACAATTAATTACTAACATTATAATTAACTTAAACTAAGAGTTCACACTTTAGATAATTTGAGGTGACCAAATCAATCTTTATTGATAATGTTTATAAAATTACCTTTAAATTTTGTCTAATTTTTAAACGTCAACTGCATGCACGTCAAAATTTTCCATCCATTTTAAAGTAAGTAGGGTCTATTCATATTTCATTTGTCATTTATATCATTGCAAAATCAATTAGTTCAAAACATGTTGGTTGTAATACTAATGTAGCACCTCAAAAAAATAAAAATATTATGTGGTCCTTCATTATATAATTTTTTTTAAAATAAATTATTTTTCACATAATATTCGATATTCATTTTATGATCCTTACAATCTATTGAATTTACACTATATAAGTCTTATTAAAGGAAGAAGTGTTGCCAACGAAATCGAGTGTTAACAATTCCCGATATATTTATGTAATTTTTATTTATTTATTATTATGAAAATTGATAATATTACTTCTTTTTTTTTGCGGTTTCAATACATGAATAAAGAAACTTGGGACACGTTTTCTAAATCGTCGATCTGATATCAAATGTAGCCTTAACGTCTAACTAAGATATTTTGTATTTTTAATATCCAAACTGATACCTCTAATTAAAAATAGAAAAAACACTGTCTATCCGATCGCAACCCTAACTAGTCTTCCCAACAACTAATTATCACTTTTGGACTTTGTATTATTTTGTTTAATTAGTTTCTTGACATATACCACCGTCCTCATTCCAACCTAACCATCTCCCCCAACAATTTACCCAAAGAACAAAAAAATTAACGACAGATAAATTTTATAATATAAAATTTTAAAAAATGATCGTTTATTTTAACTAGTGATGAATTTGTGATAGATTTTTTTTAAAAGTCTTTAGTTATGAACAATAATATTTATGACAAGAAAAATCTAATTTCATGTTAATTGTTACATGTGATTCTATTATTTCTTTTCAATTGATTTCAACAAAAGATAACTCATTTTCGAAACTTTGTAAGTATAAACTTAAAACTTATTAATTTTTACTCTTAATGAGAAGTTTTTACATCCACAAAAATATAACGATTCAAGATCATAATGAATTATAAAAGTTTTATAGTTACATAAATATTATAATATCTTTAATTAAGAGTTTAAGATCATATGTTTTAAAATTCTTATTTTCTTTTAATTTTGTATTTAATCTAATAAGTTCACATAAATTAAAATAGATTCAACGATAAGATTTAGGTAATGGTGCTTAAAGATTTTTAGTGGGAAGAAAAATAGAAAGTAGGCCAATTAATTAAACAAATTTTAGGTACAAAATCCATCAAATTAAGGAGAAAGCAATCAAAGAAAAATATGGCTATCTTTTGATTGAAAAATCAAAAGTATAGATGGAAATGGTGCAACAACCATTTTTTTAAAAATCTTAATCAATTATAATGATGAAAGTAGACGAAAAACATGTTTTTGTTTTTCTCGATTATTGTATTATTTGTTGTGACTATATTATTATCTTTTGTCAGCTTGATTATTATATTATTTGTCGCGATCGGTTACTGTGTTTCTTATTAATTTTAATATTTGTTTCTTCACTGTTGTATTTATTTTTCATACATGATTTTTAATGTTTTTCTTCACTACTCCATCGTCCTCATAAGGTGAAGATTAAATTTGCGTACACACAACCTTTTTTAAAATTTTATTTGTGAAATTACACTTATTTCTTGCTATTGCGTATGTTGTTGTTAAAAGCAATAGAAAAAAGTTAATTATGTTTAATTTAGCTAATTAATAGTTTCATGGATTTATGTGAGGTGTTTGACAAATTATAAGATAGTGGAATATTTATTGTTATTGATAAGCTCCACTTATTAACCAATCAATATTTCAAATGAATTATACCTAATCAAACAACACCTAGAATGACTTTGCTATATGTATTGTGGCAGGTGGATGGATGATCATACCAAAAATTATTACTTTTAATTTTTATCTTTAATCAGAGGTGTTAGAGTTTGAAATCAACAATTAGATTTATTTTTGAGTGAGATTTTACAATATAAATTGAATTAAATCATGTTAGAACCTCAATGCATATATGAGACAGTGATAAGTTTTACGATATCAACAACTTACCCCACCACTTATAAAAGATCGTTCTATCATAATTAAAAAAGAAACTACAATAATCTTAAATGAATATTTTATAACGATAAACCGAATCATTAACATTCTGTTTGGATCATTGTTACTCATTGTTTTATAATGTATTGTATTGTATTGTATTGTACTCTATTGTATGATAGATACAATGTTTGGATAGACTGTATTATTTGATGTTGTTTGATAACATTTTAATTGTTTTGTTTGATTGTATCGTAATGTATTGTAATTTATAAATTTACTAAAATATCCTAGAGCA